GAGAACTGCTTGCACGAGTTGAGGAACTTTAGACAAGAAAAGTTGTGTGAATAGGCCATCATCGAAAGTTCGCTGGCCGATAACCTCTCTCATTCTTAGCAACATGTCTGTCGCAGAACCATGTTGCAAGTCGATGTTATGGAGGAGTTGGTCTAACCGCTGTCGATCAGTTAGGTCTCCGCGTTTTAGAATCGACCGTTTGAGAGTTTCGTAAGGTTCGGGAACATCACTAGTAAACATACTAGGTGTTACGTACCTGTTAAATTCGCGCGGTAACGCCTTAACTAACGCGAGGAATCGTGTGCGCGAGTCCGTGATTCCGTGCATGCAAAAATCAGCTTCTGCGTAGCAGAACAGGACTCGATATTGTCGGGCCAAAATGGCGTTAACTGAATGGAATTTGGGGGAATATATTTTAACTCTAAAACCTTAGGTGAGTGTTCCGTCATAGTAATATAAGGAACGAAAAATGTCCAATTAAAATATATCCAGAAAAACTCGCGAAAAAAAGTATATCACAATATATAAAGTTCAAATAAAGAATAACAATGAATAATAATATTCCGAAAAGGAACAAACTCACAGTTTATTTTCTTGGTGTACCAGATCACGTTGGGCTCACCACTGAGGATACGGCTGATATTCTAACTTTACAATTAGCTACCAGTAGCACCTTCTATAATCGAAACCCTTTTTATCAAATAGAAATCAGAAATCAGACGAGAAGAGGTAGGAAAGATATATTTGATACGTTACCAATATATCGAGAGGCGTTCGTTCTCAGCTGACTATTGAAACGTAGGAGCTGTGTCCCACGCCGAGTTGAAACGTGATCTGGTACGGATGCATGACCGAAAGCCTTCAGTTAAACAAGTCCACTTAAACAACGTGGTTGGCATCCAATGTCGGACACTTAGAAATCTATTGATTTTGGGGAATTATTTACAGCTACAAACTAATCAGGTTTGTCATTCCAGATCAATAAATTCTGCAACACACTTGACATTGACGACCTAGTAATATTAGAAGACAGAATTCATTTCAAGTGCTCAAATTAGCTAGTCGAAGTTGAAGCACAACTAATTAGAGAAATTTTTGGAGAATTCTTAACCCGTTATTAGATATATAAATGAAATGTTGGGTATATGTGTACAGACACAAAGATGTGTCAGTAAGGAACACAATAAATATGACCTTGGTAGTTGAAAATGGAATTTAGGTCGTGGCTCTACCGAATTATAATCTCGATTTCAGCTTAATCGTAAATAGCAAAAAAACTATGTCAGCCTTATTCACTGATCAACTCAGGACTCAGATACCCCTTGTTCCAGAGCAAAGCGCAATCCAGACATCTATGTTACACATACTTCTGAGCTGTATAAGACAAATTCATTAACAATAAACAACCTATTTTATCTTACAAATTTTGTGTTTGTTTCTAGAATGCTGAAAATTTATTTTATTTAGCGTTCCTACTAAAAATAAAATTTGATTGTAATCTAACCTAAGTGATCCAACACATCATAATCTTAAAGGTTGATTTCAACTTGAACTGCAAAATTTTACGAACTAAGAGAGGACTTGATGCATTGTGAAAGCTAAGGCTTATACTAACCATAATCTATTTCCTCACGATACAAAATAATTCATTCTTTAGATCTATTATTGCAACCTAATTTACTGAGTTGTCTTGAGAGAATATTTGTAACTCAGTATCAGAGAGAAAATATTTTCATTATAAATTCACTCTACAAACTTCTGTACAAGAAGATTTATAAGATTCTAAGACTCTGTAACAATCTATTTGTGTAAAATATTTGCCATTATTGTTTCAATCCTTTGACTTTGATTTAAAAATACTTTTGACAATGATTATACCTCATTGCCTTAATGAAATCATAGTGGTTTTAATTAAATAGATATTGTTCACAGGTAAATTCATTAAACTTTCCCACATGTTGAAGACTCATGCCGTTACACTACCTTACTTTACGTTATCGATGAGTTCGCTTAATATAAGACTCCATTAATAAGGGAGCAAGGAAAACAGGTGACTTTATGAAACAGTGAGTGAAGGAAGGTGTAAAAAAACATAAATTTTTTCCTGTTCTATATGAGTGAAATATCCATCCCTTCTCTTCAATTATCCGTTTCATTATTACGTGAGTATGGTTTTACATTGGAGACTTCATATCAATTATTAATTTGCCTTCCATGGACACAAGAGTAAAGCGCTGAAATAGATGCTAGATGAAAAAATTATACAACCTATACGTGAGAGCTCGAAAGAAAATCCTCCGGAGAAAACAGGCTTTCTGTTGCAGAATTCACATGCACAAAGTGAACAAGATGCTAAATACAAGACATATTCTAATAAACGAACGGCATGAACGAAAGAAAATCTTGTGAACAAAAAACAATATACAATGAGAACTATGCAATTTAATAAAAGGAAAACGTCGAAATACGACCAGAAGAAAAGAGCATGTTGATAAAGTTGAGTATTATAGATGGCAGTCAAAATCTTTGAATATGAAATTTGTCCGCTTTTCCCTCTGTTTCTATACCTCTACTGTGATGTGGGTTACTTACATTCACATAAGTAGTATATAACGATGGTCGGGCATTGAATATATTTCAGTACAAGACCGATAACGAAACGCATTTGGTATGAAAATGTATGAACAATAATAATCGATGACGATGGACTGATATTAGCAGAAGGAACAGTCAAGATTAAGGCGATTGATTGATAGTTTGCCAATTAACTATTTACTGTATGATTTTCATATTTTACTGAGATATTCTGTATTTTGTGCCTCAGTACATTCCACTGTCCTCTCTCATGTCCTTGTTCACTACACTATGATCATTATGTTCGAGATAGATGTGATGGATTACATGATTGGAATAATAAGAATAGCAAGTTGTTAACAAATTCAGAAGTTTGACACATTTGCTCAACATAAACTCCTCATTTGATGTTTGGAAATCTTTATATCTGATTGGTTAAAACGCTTCTTTCTTCAAGTCGTCATTTGACGGTTTCTCTTTAGAATGTATTCCATCACGACGTTTTTCGCTCATCGTTTCAAAATTCACTTTTTTGTCGCACTTTCACTTGAGAATACCATTTTTCACACTATTTTCTTTTGTGAGTAATTTGATTCACTGATATGAAATTAATTTGAATATGTACGTTACGGCACATGTAAATTGATATATGACGATAGACTTACCAAAGCATATTGTTTTGTTTTGCTTCGGGTTTTTTATAGATAATTATAGGTAATATTTAGCGAGAATGGAATTGCTTCTCGTTTCCATATTTATTCGCAAACATGATGTCCCATTTACTAAGAATACTGATTTTAAGCTTTTTTTTATCTCTTGCCTAATCAATCATTTTAAAGTATTCATGACGTTACAGGTTTACTTTTTTTCAAGGCCCCTTACGCGCTTAATCCACTTCCTAAAGATAAGTCGGTGCTTACAATGTCTATGACTCCAAACTGCTCTCACTTCTGATCACGAATTTTCTTTGTACAAATTATTTCATGCTATCAGTGTATTTGTAACAAGTGTTCTTTCAAAACAACTTATCAATCGCGTCTTTGGATATACATTCACAATCCTAATTCTAATGTTGCAACCGTTGCTTGGCGCTTGGTGATACTACTTTATTACTGTTTCCATTGATATTAGTGCTCAGGTTTAGTTTATTGGAACACTGAAGTCTGAAAATTTGGTCAGATTTTGGTAAACATAACTTTGTATGTTGTATCTGATGGAAGTTCATTTGATATTAAAGCTACAAAAAGTGATGTAACATAATAGTTAGTAACAACTTATGCTTTTTAACGTGTAAATTGAGGTGTTATTTGTAAATAATTTGGTAAATGGTGAAAAGACTGTTCAGATTTTGGAAATACATAATTTTTATAATCCAATAACTCAGGATAGTTGTCGTATAAAGTAAGAAGTTTATGTTTCTCAATACTGTTCACTGTCTGGTTGTACTGTAACATCGTTTTGTAGCATCTTCTACTCAGTCTGATATTAAAAAAAAAAGAGAAATTAGAAAATACAGATAACAAAACAAAATGACTTTTATTCAAAATATTTGCTGACAGAAAAAGAAACAACCTCAACTTTCAGGTTTTCAGATGCAGTTAAAGAATTTTGATAAGATCCAAACGATACATACATTCAGATTAAGAAAATCGTCGCCACACAATATTTAAAAGAAAAAAAGTAATATAAATATATTCGTACAAATGACTCTGAAGACTTTCAAATATAGAATCAACTATACAAGAGCTACATATTTTTCACGTTTCAAATATTTAGTGAACAAATCAATAAATAAAGGATAACAAAAAATTCGTTTATGTAACTTAAACAGGAGTTAATCGTGGAGAATCTGCACCGATTTTACACTCAAATAATCTCAGTAATTTACGGAATTTGAAAATTAATGAAGCTACAAGAAGCGATAAAATTAAAGTTTTTAGGATTATTTATTAATGCTCTTGTAACATGGCTTGTTTCTAATCCAACTCATGCAACCTCTCTACGTGCTATAGAAAATACAAACTCAGTCACAATCTTATAATTCATTTATTCAGCGTAGAATGTCTCAGTAGCAGAAGTAAACATACTCTTCATATAATAAATATGTATTGAATGTGATGACAAAAAATTTATTCAACAAAATTCTCATCCTTTCAAAATATTAAATTAAGTTACAATTTCATGTCATAAAACGTTAGTTCAGATGCGGAACCTTTTGTGGTGGCTTTATTTAAATGTTTTTTTAAATGTTTAATTTAGCCTCTAACGGTTCCCATTTATCCTTTACTTTATAAAGTTAATTAAAATTAAAAATGTAAGCAATACATACTTTTAAAGAATTAGCATGAAAATCAGAGAAAAATTGGTTATTGCACATACTACTTAAAGTTATTTATTATTTGTAATGAAACTTGTTATTTACAAGGCGGAGATAAATTCACATTATTAGTCGTCGTTTACATTTCTGAATGTCACTGCTATTCATTTAAACAGTTCACTACAAATAGAATAAAAAATAAAGTGAGTTAGGTTCTAGCAGCAAAACCATTAAATTGACAACAAACTAATCATCATTTAATAAATAGAGACAATAATTAACAAAATTTATTTCAGCTATTCTTAGGCAGAACTCATGAAATAGACGTGAACAAGTACTTTGAATTTCAACGAGGTCATAACTGAATTAATTAGTTTCAAGTTGTAGGATCGTGTTCATATTAATCTCGCTAGTAAATAGCTGTATGGTAATAACCTAGTGTTGATTTATTGAGAAATTTGTAAACGAAAATTCCTACAGTTCACTTTGAATTTATAAAATCATCCAGATAAATCTACTTTTAATAAATTTCCACAGAGTTAAACAAAACAAGATTTCCAGGCAAACAATGTTGTTGTCAATTACATCTCCATCAGGCTTTATTCTAAGATACAGTAATATTTATGTGTATATATGAAGAACATTAAACAAATCAGTGTGGTTTGTGAGTTGATATTATCAGTGAAAAGGATTATATGACTAATTGTAAAATTTAAAAATTGTTAATTGATAGTAAATACTTTAGCAAATATAAGAATAACAAACAGCATGGTAACATGAAAAAATCTATTGACGAACAATGTAGCTGAAAGCTTGAAGAAATAAAGTTAACAACGTGACAAGCATTTGAGATTGTTGGATAGGAAATGTATGAATAGTCAGTTTAAGCACATATATGGTAAATATGAGAAAGTAGACAAAGAAAAGGTTTTCTCTGGAGATATAATAAACTATTTGCAATCACAGAGAATGGAGCTATTGACCCGAATTCTAAAGCTTTATTTATTTGCAAGAGGCAAGAACAAACTATATTTGAGAATTCTAAAGATACTTGAATAACTACCATAAATGTTTTAGTCCAATTAACTATATGACCACTATCAGACAAGTGAGAAATAAATAAAGTGTGTACTAGTTTCATATGACCTGTTCTAGACTACGAAGTGAGGTGCTCGCTTACTCATTGACTAAATTGTCTGATCGTATACCTGAAATAGCCTTCTCCAAAAAAGCTGCCGAATCGATATGCTGATTGGAATTGGTTACCCACACGATTTTCTGATGAGGGGTATATACACAGCGAAAAACATGATAGGCACAAAAGTTGTTATTAAGAAACCTGTCTTCTTTAACTTGTAATTCAATAAAAATAAAGCTGGTCCTACCCTACAGAGTAGACAACTAAGAAAAGTGTGGAGTCATTATGTTGTGGCTCATTGTTGTTTGCATTTTTGCCAATTATGATCAGTTATATAATTTCCTTGTCTGTTATCATTGACTCACAAATTACCCTGACTTGTTTAATGTCAATCATATATACATAAATATTACCGTATATTAGAGTATTTGTGACGAAGATCTAATTAAAAAATATAGTCTTCTTGTAGGTATCCGAATCATGTCTATTGTTATACGAAGTAAGCACAGATATGAATCAGCAATGCAAATAAACTCACGTGCATAGAAAATTATTATCCCATACGATTTCTGTGACTAAAAATATGTAAAAAAATTGTAAGACTTTCGTTTCTACTTTCACATGATGCAACCTTATAGAAAATGTTATCACTATGACACAGAAGTTATTCAAATTAAATCCTGGTATTAGTTTTGGATATAGTGGAAGAAAACGAACATCTATTTGGTTAAGTTACGTTTAATTAGATTCACTGTAAATGATGTAGTACGTGAGCGCATTGAAGAAACATAATTCTACTTTATAGTCCACTGCATTACCGTTTCAGTACATAAATAGTTAAGATGTATGTTTTATATATGACACACTGCTTGATATATGTAAACCAACTTGATTCCTTCAGCCATTCGATTTCCACAAGTCAGTTGAATAAATATCAGGAAGTCATTTAACTAATGTAGATTTGTGCAAGATGTTATATTGCTTCAACTTTGAATCTGTATATAGGGTTATAAAGGCAGCATCATAAAGTAGCAGTGTACACCTTTTGAAAATCCTTAAAACACTTAAATATATTAAGAAACTCATTTAATCCAAAAGGTTCACCTGAACAAAACAGATCCTCTAAAAATAAATATTTACATTTTGAACCATGATCACAGATTTAAAAATGCTTAAAATGTCTAATAAATAATCAGTAAAATGATCTTAAGTTGTGATCGATATGAATTATTTTCTCAAGTACTTATTGTGCAGAGATTTTTAATGCGTCTAGAAATGTGGCTTGTAACTCTTAACCAAGCAACAGTAAAAAACAACCAGAAACTTTACAAATTATAAGCTTAAGGACTAGGATGAGCATAAACAAAAGTTAGAGTAGGATAATTCTAACCAGATTAAAAATACAAAACTATTACTTTCCTTCGAAAAATTTTTAAAACCAAATAAATCTTTTGTAGTCTAGTACCAGACTTCGGTTTGGATGGACGTACGAATATGCTATGGAAATAAAAATTACATTTAACTCGGTATATTGTGTAGGCTAACGCTGCTTGTTCGACGGCGGTTATAAGAAGCCGAATACGGGCTGAGTTGGGGGGAATCGGTGTCAAACATTTGTTTATCCAAAGAAGTTTTTTGTGGAGATTTAGTAATTTTATAGTTAACATCATGAGTCAATTGAAGCTAGACCATCGTGGAAAACCTGGAAGCACTGGGCGGCCGTTTCGTCCCATTATGGGACTCCTCAGCAGTGCGCATCCACGAACCCGCTCTCGCGAAATTCGAACCCAGGACCTACCAGTCTCGAGCCAGAGCCCTTAACCGATAGACCACTGAGCTGGCATCCAACGGTGTTAATGTCTAACCTCAAACATATTTCGAATAAGAAGCGGAGAAGGCGAGTGAGCCAACTCGATTTGATTATATGTGACTAGGTATTTATAGTCAGACAAAAACAAGTTACAGACGCGTACTGAGTAGAATAAGCAATGTACGCATGCGCTCATATAAAAACAATCAGAGTTATTAGGCGAGTAATTAAATAGGTCAAAATGTGACATGAAAAGAATGAATAGGTCGGTTTGTACAGAAGTAGAATAACCCATGTGGGTTTGAAAAAGCAAGACACTACAAATTTTACCATTCCAGTAATCCGTGAAATTGATTAAAATAATCTTTCGTATAAGAGAATCTTGTAAGACAATCAGCGTTCCCCACATAAAAGACCAATCGAAACGTATAGTCAGAAAAAAGTGTTTAACTTCATGATCTAAAACACCACAATTCTTGAGAGAGACCGTCAAATGACGACTTGAAGAAAGAAGCATTTTGATAAAGGTGAACATCAAAGTTGGCAATAAAATATTTGAGTATGAAATTTGTTCCGTTTCCACTTAATTAACATATCTCTACGACCAATCAGATATAAAGATTTCTAGACATCAAATGAAGTGTTTATGTTGAGCAAATGTGTCAAACTTCTGAATTTGTTAACAACTTGCTATTCTTATTACTCCAATCATGTAATCCCTTACGTCTGTCTTGAATTGTGTGGTTGAGAATCTTTTTAGACAGAGTTTTATAGGTGTTAGATTTCCAACAGTATAAGAGTTTGCTACAAAATTACTAGCTAGTAAATATAAAATTACATTTTTAACCTTACCGAGCTATTCGAATGATTGTCATAGTTGTAAAAAGAATTACTAGCAGACAGATTCCACCAAGTATATATACCGCCCAATTAAACCAGTATTTACTTATTTGAACCATTTGATATAATGTGTTTAATGTTTCCGTTGGTGGATAGACTTCCTGGAAAACCAATAACAAGTGAAATATATTTTAAAGGCATTGTTTGATTCACATGTTTCCTGTAAATTCTAATTCCATTCAAAATATTCAAAATATCGTCATGAAATTTATACGTAAAATAATTCGATTTGTAAATGCTTTTAGGACGCACTTTTCATTTTACCTGTGTCTTGTCAGGTGAATGTCTGCTAACTTTCCGTACTGATTATCATGCAAAAAATCGAATCTCCATATGTACGTTCAAGTGTTATGGCGTTATCTAATAACGTGGGCTGACTAGAGACGTTGTCAAACATTCCTTACATAGGCATGAAATTTAAGATTCATAACAGTGGAATACAATGAAATTGATTGTTTAAAAACGTCTTAATTGTAACCGACAACTCTCACTTTGGCAGACATTTGAGTAAATAATCTCGTTGACAAAATGTATCAAACTAGTCACTTTAAAATCAATGTAGCTAGTCAAGTTAATTCCATTGGGCTTTTATATTTATAGTTTGTACATTCACATTACAAAAATAAGCTGCATGACACGCACTTTTCAGTTTAAGAACCACCGGTGCGTTATTTGAATTTTCAATCAACGAATTTCTATTGGTATGAAATGGATTTGATTAAACTACTGGTTGATTATCATATATGTCATTATTCCTGCAAGTATGAAGAGTCTTAATTGACTACAAATACAAGAACAAATTCATCAAATGTAATGTATTGATGTAATAATGAAATTGTTCATATGAAGAGACTCATTTTTTTGTAGATATTCCCTGAGATTAAGTCTAGATAGTATAATACTTCTGCGTTATACGTTTTTACACAGAAAGGATTTTATGCCCCTCAGATGTATATCGAACAGTTATAATTTATATTATTTCTCTTAAGTCCTTTTCACATATGTTTGTATAGGTATATGTCTAATTCAATTTAATAACTAAATGCAAAGTATTAGGACATTTTGAACACAGTTTATTGGCACGCACATTAACAATATTGATAATAGGGAAGAAGTAAGGACCCCTCATCAATCGGAACGGCATACTCCTAAATAAATGATTGAAGAGAAAGTAAAAATGAAAATAAATACCAAATATTTATGAAAGTTCCTCACAAGTTGATTTTTGCATAAAGTCATAGGAAACAAACACAAACTAATTTTGACAAGGTTAATATTATTCAAAATTTATTTTAGTGTAAACCATCTAGTGAAAGAGATTAGTCATATATGAATTGGCGTGAGTCGACAATGCTAAACTCAGCTCTCCAAGTAAAACGGATTCGCTTATTTCAAACAATGATAAATATGTATTTTTATTCAAAAATTGTGCAATTAGAGATTACGATCAAATTGGAAAGACTGAATTTTCTTTGAAGTAAATATTTAACTTTCATTGTTTGCTTTTAGTAATACGAATGAGATACTGGTTTACAGATATCACTTTAATTAATTTAAAGATGGAAGACTAGATATAACTGAAATAGCCAGTGCTCGAATCGTTCCTGAAGATGAGATTATTGTGAGGTTAATTGATTTAAAATCCGCACTACTTTTTAAATTCTCACTGTTCTCTAAAGCATCATGATTTCGAGTGTTTTATGTGTCAATGCGAATATTTTATTTAAAGTTCAGTTTATCATTCACCAATATCAATGACGTAAGTGTTAACTTGATAATTCATACCGGTGATCACACTTATAACTTTATCTAGTCTATTTTCCTTCCTCATATTTATAAAACCAAGGCTTTCGCTCAGGATATGCTTACAGGAATATTAATTTGAAAAATAATGTTCTGTCATATAGATTATAGTATTTTAAATGCTTGTTCGAATAGAAAATAAAATTCAGTTTTCTGAGTAATTTTTTCCTTGTGTTTCAAAGTTCAACTTTTTCCATAAGGAAACTATCTAATCAAAATGTTAAGGGAATAAACTTTTAACTCATAGGTGAATATTCGTACACATAAAACTGCAGATGTCAAAAAGTAAATCGATATTGTTATTTATGCTTACGGGTTCTTTTCATTGTCTATGTAAAAACTGATCTGCAAGGACTGATGAGCTCCCAGAGTGAGTCCAGTCAACTAAATGTATGTCGGAAGGTAATTAATAAAATTGTACAGACTATTATGAGAATTAAGTTAAACAAACTTAAAATAATAAGCTTTTGTTTGCATTTGTCATTTTAGTAAGCGATATTAATAGACGTTTAAAGGAAAATCAGCATTAATCAATCTTGCTTTTAGCTTTCAAGTGTCAACTGGTTTACATTTCAGTTTTTTATTACTTTCAAAATAATTATTAGAATTAGGGTTCTCTTTCTCACAAAATATTGATCTTCATAATATGTTCTGAATGTAAAGTCCTGTTGTTGTAAACCGAACACGACTGGGGACAATCGAATGTATTAAGACACAAAAAAATCTCACTATATTCTGATAACCATACAATGAACAGTTACTTTTCAAATTAACAACCAATTGTCTCAATCTTCACTGTTCCGTCTGTAAATATCAGTTCATCTTCTCTAATTTCATTGTTCACGCATTTTTCTACCAATTACGCTTCATTTCAGTTCCTTCCTTATCGGTCATATATTATTTATATGGATATAAGTAGACCGCACTACACTGTTGTTGTGACTTCAATAAAAGTTTGAAATATCTATTCAAAAACGATCTTGCAGTTTCAGAAGAAATAAAGGATCAATACTAAGCAAAATTCAAGCGATTCTGCATTCAAAACACTTCGAAATAATTTAGAAACAATTACTTATACTTGACTAATTTGATATTCGTCAACAATCTTTGCAAGTAGAAAATATTTAATAGAAATCGGATCGTTGATTAACATTTATGTATTCCAACTATTTTTTTAAATTACACCGAAACTGATAAATGTTATCCAAAAGTGTTTGGTGTTTCTCTTTCGATATCACTGAGAATTGGTCATTCTTTGTTTAAATAAGGAGTGCTCAAATTGTTATCTTTATGCATTAATTTTAGTCAATAAGTTTTACATATTTTCAATTTTGTTTCATTTAAGACTAACCAATTACACATACCTTTTTCACACTGTAGACATTTATTCGGGTGCATGAACCGAGCACGTATTCTTGTCAAACATAAGGGTTATGATTGTTACATACATGTTCATGTAATTCAGTATATATTACTATTCGAAAAAGTTGTAACTACCATCGATATTGACAAGTTTTAGAACTTTTTGTATGCTAGATTAGTAAATACTAAGTTGGATTAACTTCAAAGGTAACCTCAAATTTGATTATTTTCTATTGAGAAACAACTTGGGCTTGTGTTAAGAAGCATCCAGAATTTAGATGATAAACCATTGTGCTGATAAATCTAAATAATGCCCCTAACATATAACTAGCACACTTGTAAGGAATGGCTACAGGGTACATCTAGTAAAGTGAACATGAACCTAAGTTATTGTTATGCAAAAGTAGAAACTGTTGGATCTCATTTATACAATACATAAACTATTACGATAACAGATAATAAACACTAAAATAAATGAAGTTATTAGCAACATTCATTACTTACGGGCTCGACATACAAAACAGTTTTGTCATCAACTTCATCTTGCTCACTTATGCCATTAAACTGATTTCTAATTTTAGGATCAGCGCCACCAAAATGACCAGGTGAACCGTATAAAGGCAAATGGTTGTCATTTTTTAAACATGGAGACAAAGATACAAAACCTTCTGGTGCACACTTTGGTTCGTAATTTTGGCCCTGACAAAACTCCGAAACAGATGGGTAAATATTGGAGTTCTCTTCAACTTCTGCTGGCTCAAATGTTAAAACCTAAATGTCATTGTCAAAGCGATGAAATGTAAAATCAAAAGTAAAGTTTATATATGTAATTACTTTTTCCTAAAAGAACTCAAGTGTCTCAGCATCACTGCTTTTATTTACATTCTTATCAATATTTTTCACATAATCTGGAGACATGTGTAGTTACATAAAAATGACCTGTGATTAGATATTAAATCTGAGTCAGTTATGTAGATGATGTATCACTGCTACCCTAATTTGTTCCAGTTAGGAAAGTCCCTTAACTACTCACATCAAAACATTTATTAACATATGACAAGAATAATCTCCTAAATGTGTCTCCTTGAAACAGCATAAATAGCTGAGATCAAGATAGTTACTCTAAAAATTCCATCAAAATGGTTTCCGAATCCGGGATAATGTAATGAATATCAGAATAATTATTCCACATTCAATATCATTTTAAAAGATTTCATTTAGAAAAATAAGATATTCACCACCAAACCATTGTCCCTTAATGGTACATACAGATGACCTAATCATAAGTCAGGTGAAGTCATCCGAAAACTGGCTAAAGCAACATTAAGGATCCAGAAGTAGGCTAACCATTATTAGCATGGATAGGTTTTATACCAAGAAAAATTTTGTGTAATAATTCTAACAAGTGATAAGTCAACTTAACAAGTAATAATTTTGAAACCTTTAACCATCCTTCTAATGCGATTAAAAATGCTTAAGTTTCCCTTTTAGTTGTAGTTATATATAACTAATAACTATCATATTCACAAGCATATCCTAAAAGTTCTTCCGTCTCTCGAATATAATGTAATTTAATGAAGGTAAACTAAAATTTGCTTTAATGAAAACATACAGTTATTAAAGAACTTGTGAGTTCATGGAGTAATCTTATTTCAATATTAACACTATAAAAAGAATGTTTGCACACCTGTAATTTTGAAAATTTAGGATGTGGCACTAGTTTTGTTGCTTCCATTACTACTGAGCGACAAATACCTGGAACAAAAATATGCCTTCGCACACCAACACTAAGATCGAAGCCCATGAATGCCCCTTCTAAAAATTGAACAAAAGGAGAATCTTATAAGATAATAAATAAAGGCTCTTTTTCTTTTGTTTTTTTTTATTTTCGTGCGATCCAACTGTCAATATGTTTACATTTAATCTAATTGAAATCCAATAATCAACGCACTGATGAACATTCAGTAATTATGTTTACAATGACAAACTGCGGAATTACGACAAAGGAGAGCATTTTCTTTATTGTCCATTGCGCTATGTACGACTGAGCATGCCAAATATGGGTATTTAGTTAATATTTACCATAATTCATGAAGGCTTAATACTTAATCTGAATTTTATTTAAACGGTTCTAGAAATAGAATACTGCTATGTCGCTACTGTAAAATGTAAACATATCGAATAGATGTATTTCTTTCTCTATACATTTTGACAAACTCACCTAAGGCAGTAATGGTAAATTAAAAACTAACAGAACTAGTATAAGTGACCCTAAAATGTAATACTGAGAAATATAAGCTTATAGTTATTTAAGATGCATTGTTAGACAAAAATGAGGGATGGCTGAGCAATATCGTGGATTGGTTGTAATTAGACATTAATGACGTTGGATCCCAGCTCAGTAGTTTATAAGTGCAGCGTTCGCGCGCAAGATGGAAGGTCCTCGGTTCGAATCCCAAGTGCAAGATCGTGGGTGCTCACCGTCGAGGAGTCCCATGTTAGGAAAAATTTGTCGTCCAATTCGTTCATTTTTTTAGTGGTAGTCTAATACTGATCAGTTCATGGTCTCAACTGAAACAAAAATAATCTTTCTTTTTGAAATTGCAAGATTTATTTTGTAATATTTAAGCACTTAGGCTTAACAATTAGTTCATGGAAGGTATTCAGCTTATTATTCGCAAATATAGGATGATTACTTCTATGACGAAAAACGAAAAGTTTGATAACTATTAATTTATGTCATCAAGCCTTTTGCCAGTGTAGTATAGGACAACTGAAAAATATCCTTTGACTTTTAAGTTTATCACTGGAAACATTGATTAGTAAATGACACCTCAAACAGATAGATAATGTATGCAAATTAAAGTTAATGATTCAGCTTCACTATATATTTGCTATCGATAGCAATCACTCAGTTTATTGCAACAATCCAGTACTTGGTTGTAAACTGATGACAGAATCAATATCACAAATCACAAAATGATCATTTTATCTTGAAAGAATAACCAAGGTAGTTTAATAATAGGTTTAATTTCCTCACCACTTCCATTAATCATATTTGCATATTTGCTATTCCATTGGTTTAGTTCTCTGTCAAAACATTACAGAAATAAGAAACTGTTGTTTAGGCTTTTTTAAAATTATAATTAAAGTAGAGACTGGCTGAATATAGTAATGAGTTTCCTTAATAACTCAAGGTAAAGATCTTTATTAAAACATTTAACTTCAATTAATTATGAATATTTTTCATGTTTAAATATTGTCTGAGCAATGTGTTTGCTATATGATGTGTGCCACGTGAATGTAGAACTACTGAAGTATTTACCAGTTGAGTAACTTAATCTTAGACTTTAATAAATTAACATTTTGAATTTAAATATAATAAGGTTCCTTATCATACAAACTTCCTATATACAACAATTTACAAATTTTTGTCCAGGAAAATGCATCTGCTTATTGAAAGTATGACGTCTATTAAATATTTATGAAGCAGACTGAAGTTTTTCAGGCTAACTAATTAAATTCATATCCCCATCAATCAAGTATTTAAAGGTAGAAGTTTTCTCATAAATATACATACACTTTGTCCTTTGTAGAATCTAAGATTTCACTGAAGTAATAACTTATTGAACTAATAGATACTAATATACAGTTGTGAAATGACTTACTTTCGCCCATTGAATTCTACAACATTCCCTCTTTCATTCATACCGTCAACACCTGTTTTGAGTAAAAATTCTTCAATGCTACTGCCATTCTCCTGAAATTAAAAAAAGCTTAATTGTTACAAGAACTGCAGCAATTACATTAATCATGGAGTAGAGCATTTAAAGAAGCAATGTCCTCCATATGTTATTGAAATGATATTCAGATGGGTTATTAACACTATCAAAGTTTTGTTAAGTGTTATATTTTAATATTTTTCGTGAGAAACAGAAACTCACTGACTTGTTATACACAGTTTGAAAAGAGAATTAAATATACTAAACTATAACTTGCAGAGAATTTCTACTCCAATTGGTTAACAATCATTCACTACGGCCTAATCAAGCAATATGAAAATCAAAGCTCAGTGGTTTGTCGATCTCAAAAGACTTGGTTATTGAGGAAAAAATGAAGACAGTTCAAAGAAGAAAGTTTTCTTTTCAACGATTTCATCGACCAAAACCGCATAATTCTAAGATTATTCGGAACACATAAATTCATGATAAAATAGAAATGTCTTTCAAGGAATATATTACTGTCGGTTTTTGGAAACTATATACTAGTAGTCAGATATTACGACATATTTCAGTAATTTGAGACTGAATTGCTACCGTTCAGGAAACAACTGTGACGGTCATTATCACATGCTAATACGAGTCAGGTAACTGTTTCTCAAGTCTTTTATCCAAGGATTTGGCCATTGAACGTCAAAGTAGTAGTGTTTGCATGAATCCCCTAATTCTTCTGAAGTTTACACATCTTTCTGTTAGCTATGCATCTAAGACCAATTCTTGTCATTACCAACTATTACCAGCTCTGTTGTTAAAGAAATATGTACTTAGGGTACATAAATCTCATTATTTCAAAATAATAGCTAAACTTAGTTCCTTCAGTCCCCCATGTTATAAGCGACAAACTCACTCTCGAAAATACGGATATTTTTTCTGGGCATTGGCCGAACGTGTGGCATGATTTTATGTTGCTATGTGTATAACCCCATATTATTTCGTTTGGTGTTGCTGTGATGAAGGGTTTGGTTGTTCTGTAATAACTCTCCATGTAGAATTTTCTGTCCTGTAATATTAACCCCTAAAATCAATGTAAAACAAAGTGTACATTTTGGTTTCTTCAGAAATGTATAATAAAATGACTGACTTTAAAAATATATCGTTGAACGATCATTTAATTAGTTGTGAAAAATGAAAAGAAGAGAGAACGGATTGATTTTCGATAATTATTTAAATTATTAAAATAAGTTAACACAAAGTTGGTCGTACGTAACACTGAATCGTTTACCGTAATACTAAAAAATGAACAAATCAAAATGCTATAACAAAATATATGTCGTTTAGTCAGGTCTTCTACACCTTTCTTGTTAACCAATAGAATTACTCATATCTTAATTTTATGTGCATCTAAGTAAATCTAATTGAAGGACTTAGTTACAGACTAAACGAAAATAAACTAGTACTTTAAACAACTTTCAAAAATCGGACTAATGAAAACCTAAAATGTAGAATCATTTTAAATCTGTGCTGGTAAACTGTCTGTAGTAACCCCAATTGTTGTTCACTGAAATGTTTTTCATTTCCATTATTTTGACTGTTTAATGCAATGCTAGAAAAATATGTCTAAGCAAAAACAGGGACCAACAACCCATTAAAGCAAAAATGTTCCAATTATTTTCAGATATTTTAAGCAAAAACTACAGTATCTGGTAATTCATCGTATTTCACTTCATAATTTTTACAGAACACCTGATGAATCTGATAGAAAAGTCGAGATTTAATAATACTTGAGAATGAATTCACATAGTTGTCAGTATCGTGATTTCGTTATTTGACGCATACGCAAAAACATACATCATTGTCGTTAATTTCAATAATTTAGGCAACTATGTTTCGGCATATAAATGATTTCTAAAACAATCAGACTGTGTAACTGAGCCACTGTTGTTATCAATCAGCTTCGCACCCAGGTTCCAGTTGCTTATCAAAGTTTCGTAATGCCTCCGTAGATATTTATAAGAATAATCACGTTTTTATTTGTCTGGGATAAAGGTGTAACATATACCACTCGTTTAGCTGCATTAAATGTAAACGCTGACTAAATTCTAAATAAAACAACATGAAAGCTTTCTAGTTCACAGCTGAAGAATGAGAAGATATCTTTAGTTATAATTTAGTACTCACAAAACGAGCATTTTAATAATAACTATTAAAATCGTGCTCTTTACCTTACTATAAACCTTATGTATTGAAGCCATGTTTCAACCGACGTAATATTGATAAATACAATTAAAAGTTTTAGTCAACACTTTGGATCTAATAACAGTAATAAGAAATTCTAAATAAATGTAAAAAAAGCTAATCATTTGTATGGAAGATGTAGGTAAGTGACCAGTGCAGAGGTGGTGTTGCACATGAGCTCTTACAACTATCTGATCAAGTAATCTTCATCAATTGTCTCATTACTTAATTAGTTAGTTAAAAGATATTGGTATAAAAATATAATGAAAGACTTCAATTTGGTAGTCCTGCAAACACAAATGAATCTTCTTTATAAACTATTACAATAAAAAAGGAAATTTTAAAATGAGCAAACGAGCAAGTCTTGTTTAATTTTTTAATCATTTCAAGTAGAAACATACTCTAAGATCCCTTAAGGCTTAATACTACCCGGTAAAGCTATCATCTTCAATAAGCTGAAGACGCCTATGATCGATCTTATGGTAGTTTCTGTTTGTAGTCATTGAGTAATGTGAAATAGTGACTTTTTGTACTCTTTGATAAAGTATTAGTTCCTTTATCGGAACTCTTATATAGAAGTGATGAAATTATAAGACTTAACGTTAGAGTGCTCACATTGGTTATTCAAACTAATATGCCTAATGTGGTATTCATTTGATATTTTTGATGAAGTTAGTGACTGGTGTAAACTGCGCGAAAATCTACTATAATAATTTTCCATTTGGAAGTAAAATAATTATAGATAAGTAAAATAACCTAATTCTTCTTCTTTTTATGGTCTGTTGCGTTATTTCATTGTTACTTAACATACTTCTCCATTATTATAAAATAATGGAAGCTAATCAAGAAAGGACTTTCACGCTACTTACTTTATTTTTATCTATATTTTGGCTTCAAGTATTCCTCTTATTCGAGAATATTTGGAGTAAGTTTTAAAATGAAATAGTTATTTAGATAATAAAATCACAGTAATAAAACTTAGTAAATGACGGAATTCTAGAAAATCCAAAAAGAATAAACTCATTCATGATACTAGGGTATTTGCGACCTTAATATAATTTACTGACATAGTTGCAACTTACAAGATTTTAATTGAGGTATGATAATGGAAAAAGGACTGTGTTAACATCAGTGGGTACTAATAATTATGTGTTCAAAATTGGACTCATTTTGAATGTTGCTGATAGTTCGATTATTTGACTCATTATTTATTTATTTTAAAGAAGGGACCGGAGTGTACTTCAGAAGATACAAGTACTATCCATTTTTGTGCATAAGTTGCAGAAATATATGCAGAACAGTTAGTTCAATAGTTCATCACTTGAATGAGCAACTTCGGAAGATTCGTGAGGTAGTGTAAACTACTGGTAAAGTCTCGATTGTTATAAAGTATACGTCAACTGGTTGCGAAGGATGTTTTCAAGACAACTAACCCTATTTGATTTAATTTTGACCCCCTAGATTGTTTTTTTTTCATTTATTTTTTATTTTCCTATTTGCACATTTGTTAGATTATTTATTCAAATAAAAACAGGATAATTACCTAACACAAATAGTGACATGCAATGATTTTCCTTCGTGTGGTTAATTGATGTGGATGGCTATCATCCATCTTCAAATAAACTAAGTAATTTTCGGACAACCTCAGTATTTAGACTTTTACAGAGATTGTTAGAATTTAGCAATTACACTTTTAAAATATTTCAGGCAGATCAGTCGTTTATCTTCTAGTGTATTAGTTTACAGATTGCAAAGAGTATTTCTAGTCCTACAGAAAAGACGTATGGTCCTAATATCTTGCCTTCAAAAAAACCATAGTGAAATACCATAGACTTATTACACCTTGCTAATTCATTTTCATCTTGCGCTCTTAATTTTCTAAACGTTGAATTTGTTAATATTTAGAACTAATAATTGACATGAAGTATCATGATAAACATATGAAATGCTCGTTAGAATAAAAATGATTCAATCGATAGAGATAATCATAACTGGCAAGTCTCAACTATTTGCTGAGACCATATTGTCTAACAAGCACATCCTAAAAATATTCACTTTATGATATATTATTCCAATAACATTTACTAACCTTTTTTCAAACTACTAATAAAACCTGCTAAGTAATCTATCCTTCACTTGTTGAATTAGTGAAAATATTACCAATTACACCATAATATAAAATTTTGTAAAACGTATGATTGAAAACTATTTTACCTAATGAGTAATAGCCGATATTGTATTGTATAATCATTAGTACATTTCAAATTCTATAAATCACGGCATAATTTAGTTATTAGTCTAATTGATAAGACACCCTTCTATCTGGAGGTAAATAATGGAAAAGTACCTCAATTCTGATGATCATTGATGGGCTGGGTAACTCAATGACAATGTCTCTGAATACAGCACAGCGTAAGATGTGATTGTATCTTATGAATAGCATCAGTTTCTTCAAATTTCCACATGCAAATCACTGATTTGTATTAAAAAAACAGGGTAAATAAGCTTCAAGCTAACTACCAGCCTAACAGCAGCATCATAAATCAGGTTCCCCAAATTATCGACAGCTGGCTTTTCATAATAATTTTTATTTCGTGTTGCTATATAAAATCAACCGTCATTAACTCTAATAACCTATAGTGACTAGTTTACCAGCTTTTCTCGCTTCACCGAGGAATGTTTTGAAAATCAGTCACCAAACATTATGTAAGCTACCTTGTTAAACCTTATAGTGTTTATTTAGATTAATAATATTCAGTTACGTTATTGCATCTCACTCAATCCGAATATCAGTTATTTTTCAGGTTTATAAAGACATGAAAAATATTGCGTGAGCATCTTGCCTAAAGTAAACCTGGTTAAGGTTATCAATTAATTAACTAGACTTAACAAGCTATCAAATTTTTTCGCAGCAAAAGTTTTTTACAATTTTCATATCTGGTCACTCATATAGTAGAGTAGTAAATACTGGAAACACCATTATTTGTAGCAATACACTTATTTATTTTCTGTGTTTTAAGTCGTACTTCAACTGAGGATTATGATCGTCGAATATATAAGAAAGCCCGTGATACATGTAGTATGAAATCATGGTCCAGCAACAGTAATATTTGATAATTACAATCAGGGATACAGACTTGTGTATTCATCTGAAACCAAAGTAGCAATCATTGGCTTTAATTATCAGATTTAATGGTCATGGAAGAAGAACTTAGTTATAGCTACTCATACTTTTGAATATAAACGTTTATAATGAACTTCTTAGTGGCTGGTAAAATTTCTTCATTCTAAGTCTAGATGGTTATCTCTTGTTTGTCTAGGGATAATTATGAAAAATTGCATTTTTACTTTAAAACATAGATTAATATAAGCAAAAATGAACAGTGGCTAGCAGTGGAATCCATAACGCGCGTTTCGTCCTATTTAGGACACTTCAGCCTGATATACATGCATCTCAGAGTTGATGTTAACTCGGGGACTCAGACCCAGTACTGTTCACAAACTATACCAAATGAATTTGAAATTCAACTCAATGCACAAACAGGTGGCTATTAAGACTCAGTGTCTAAGCCGATAAGGTGATGGCGTTTGAAGCGAGTGGTACTGGGTTCGAGTCCCAAAGTGAACGTCAGCTCTGAAACGCAGGCACGTCCAGCTGACGAGTCCTTAATAGGACGAAACGCGCCTCTTGGATTCCACTGCTAGCCACTATCCATCTTTGCTTATAATGTTTGTGACTTAAGACAATATCAAGTCAATCCCCACACGATGCACATATTCCAATAAGTGACTGATCAGTTGTAGTCCTTAACATCAATGGGAATACATATAGTCCAGTAGGATTACACTTAAGTTTCTGGTTAGAAAGCTATGCATATGTATGCAATTCCGCAATGAAATAAGAAATGGCTGGCCTTTATGGGGTTTTTCACAATTAATAAAGATAATTAAAATCAATATTTAAATAATGAAAGAATCTCATAGCTTACTCCAGCAAAAAGATCAAGTGAAGTTATTTGACGGCTGTAAATATCGGAGCTTGACAGGTTTTCATGTGGGTAATAATTCGATTTCTTTTTATGACGAAGATATTTTGGAGGTGATTCGTTGGAGAACGAAAAGTTCCATTTAGTCATTCTTTTCCTATGTATTTTTTCAATATTTTCAATAACAATAAAACAAGAATCTAACACAGCTCGCTGAAATATTATTAATGAATGAATAGTGTTTAGTTAAAAAGGAGAACATGTTTAAAAACTTCAATAAAATAGAAGGAATATAAGGCGAATTTTAATCAAAATAAAGATTTCAGTTCAAATTTCTTTTTGCAATAAATACTCGTTTTTGTCTTGGTATTATATTTATCAGGAGAATGCTAGTTGTTATATCCTAGTGAGGATTAAAGTGCGAGTAACTTCCAGGACCTATTAATGGACTATTATTCTATACATATTCTTATCGTATAACTATTCAGTAATTAGATTGTGTTCATCTATATTCATCTTATTATAAGCTTCATTTCGACCTATAGATTATTATCATACTATCTACCGTTCCTAAATTATATTCAGTTTATTGGTTACTGTCTTTCACGTTCGCAGCCACATTTCGGCTTGATCTTTTACAAATGTTATATCCTATTTTATGGTGTGATGTGGTCTGTTTGGTTGATATATAAACCCAGTATGTCTGAAATAAATGATTTGCATGGTTGAGGCTATTATTAGTGTTCTGGACTGAACTGCACGGGCTAAGCGGACAAAGGACCAATAAGGACACTTTGTTGCTCATAGCGACCGGAAGTCATTGGATGAGTCTCATTTCGATTGATGAATAAATCACGTGATAAAAAGCCGGGCATAAATTCATAACACTATTGTAAAGCTCTTTTCGTCTTAAGCTATAACTCAATGTATTACAAACTAAAAATCCGCAGAACGGTGTACGTAGAAATATCTTACCAGTAAACATATGGTCCGACTTCCTCGAATAACGGTTTACCACCTTTAAGAACTTCCTCTTCGTTTAGTAAATTGAAAAGGTAAAGGCGTGTGATTATCGAATTATTGTCACGAGAATAAGCTTCGAAGACTTCGCTACCAGGAGTGAGCAACAAAAACTAATAATCAAAATCAAAAAGCGATTCTCATATTATGTAATTATTGTTTACGTACAGGATTATTTATATCAATATGAAAATCAAAAACGGGTTGTATCACCTCTTCATAAGACTTTGAGACATTACAAAACTTTTTTACTTAATAGCATTTTACTTAAGCATAGCATCAGAAACCGAAAAAACCCAGTTCTATTCCCAATAAATAGTTCAATTCAAGTCTTCTTATCTCATACTACAGGTAGGTGATTTTTTATGTTATTCTGCTAGTCAGTTTTATTTAGTTAGGGTTTTCGTGATGTTTCAAATAAACTTCTATAGACTTCTGGGAATTGCAGAACATAGTAAACACTAGTTTGAAAGACACGAACAATGTAGCACGACTGTGATAGCAAGTTGATAGTCAGTGTGTATTGAGAAAATTGAACTGCAGTGGGATATCACTTGTAAATAATATATATATATATATATATATATATATATATATATATATATATCAAACTTACATTGTTGATTATTGTAATGAACACCTGGTCAACATAAAAGTGAAATACTACACAGCCAGTAAACAGTAAGAGGGATACAGCAAAGAAAACGTATGCCGTTCCCATACATGCCTTCCCCTTACACATTACAACTCAAAACGATGATAATAAAGGGTTGAAGATTTCCGTTTCGTCCCCAAGGATTATTAGTAAAATGCTGGAAATGTAAAGTAGTCAAAAAATACCGGCAATAAGAAGGGATTATTTGGCATCACATTGAGAGTATCAGACAATTTAAAATAATAAGAGTATAGAATATGATGAACAAATAACGTAACCGATAATGACTTGACTTGTAAATTGTCATCTAACAATTTAACTTTTGGTTAATAGTAGCCTAACTTACTAATAACTTTCAGTTAAAATTCTATATTTTCAAGGTCGTTCAGTAAAGTCAGTCACATTTATTCTCATAGGAAATTGATGATAGCATTACCCGTTAACGTTATGAATCGTTCGCTGTTCATATACCTTATTCTTCTCTACTTTTAATCCTTGTATCGCAACACCGCTAGATGAATTTTGACATGATAGTGGCCAATTAAATTGTACGTTTGGGAACAAATTATTTATAGAAATAGAGAATGCTAAACACTCCTTCGCAGCACTGAACAAACAATCATGAATTTTCAGAGAATATAAGTGGATGATAGCCTCATGGTTTAGAAACATCCATATTTACCTTAAACAGCAATCCACTGAGAGCAACTTTAAACGCAAGCTAAATTCGTCTAAGATGTATTTATATATATTTTTAAACTTATTATTAGTTGACTATCGGATGATAAAAAGTAACATCTTAAGAAAAATATTTTCAAAAATGTTAATAATGGTATGATCATGCCATTGTACATACTATTAAACTCATACCATTAGACGGTTATCACTAATTAGATTGCTACATTTATTAACCTGATTTCTAATTAGAAGACCATAATAGTCAGACAAACAAATATTGATGGCCTTTAATATGTTATTTTGTTTAATAAATTCCATTATATGATCTTAAATAAAATATGAAACAGAAAATATCACGCCAGTTATTTAAACTTTGCTTTGACCATGATTTTCGTTTTATATTCAAATTTTATTGAATAAGACCCACTATGCATGAAGTGTTCTTTTTTTTTAAAAAAAAAAAAAAAGAAAGGTTTTCGTTTAACTTCAGGAGAAATTGGTATTGATAACCATGGTGAAAATCTAAGTTAATTTTACTCAGTCCAAAGCTTGAATTTAAGGTGTACTATGAGAAACAATCTTAATGAAACATTTCACTGAAAGATAACCGGTGTCTTACTAATTAATAAAAATAAGCTTGCATTTAATTATTCTACGCTTAATTGAATACAGGAGTTACATGCAATCAATGAATGAAGTTACGGTCCTCTCCGATGACTAATTTCCTTCAGATGTTTTTAATCATAGATTTATAACCATTTAAACGTTGGAATAAAGTAATTATATCTAAACAACTAAATATAACTCTGTCAATTTTATGAAATAATGAACATTAACAAACCAGTAAATTTTGTGTAATGACACTCTTCTGTAAAACTTTCTGGATGTAGTTTATTTTTGAGTTTACATAATACCAGGTTAGCCTCCACATAAATCTATTCACTCTTCGAAATTTAACAACACAGTTACCAGCGCAACCGCGTTATGACTTTCCTGAGTTTTAACTTTTATGGAACTAATGCTACTACTGTAGTATCAGTTTATATGTTAAGCCCATATACTTCATTCTAGTTGCTGGCCAAGCCAATTCGCCTATCCATTATGAGTCATATTTTGATCTTGTTATTTATTCACTTATTAACCTTGACTATACTTTTATATGAGCGTAATTGTGTGTGCCCTTCGTATCTTATTCATCATATATCTGTCATTCGTTTTTGTCTGACTGTATTTGTTAATTAACGCTTGCTTAAAATGAGTTGGCATCCCAGCCATCTCCAATACGCATTATCTTTCGCCTTGCTCTCGAGTTGGCTTCCCAGTCATCTTTACTATGTATCATCTTTGCTTCGCTTGCTTACACTAGCTCATGTGCTTACAGTTTTCTGGTCTGCATCATTCATCAATAAAAATGTAGTTGCCGCTTCCTTATGCCTTCTGAATTTATACACCGTTAAAATTGGTATAATAACGGTTATCGAAGTGAACTATTATTAAAAGTCAGTCGGTTACTTTGTTTCTATGTGTGGAGATGGTGCAAATGATTGTGGAGCTTTAAAAGTAGCTCATGCTGGGATTTCCTTAAGTGAAGCAGAAGCAAGTATTGCTAGTCCTTTTACATCGAAGATACGTAATATAAGCTGTGTACCCAGGCTTATAAGTGAGGGCCGTTGTGCTCTTATAACAAGCTTTGGAATGTTCAAATTTATGGCTGGTTACTCCCTCATTCAATCGTTTTCCATAATGTTACTTTTTGTGGTAAGTTCAGCTACAGTTAAAATATTATATTTCTCCCCCTTGTTTGCACTTCAGTCCACGCAATTGTTTCGCAGTTTAGATTATACTTAGATAAGCCAAATTAGACCAAATTATAACTTAAATTTCTGTTGTTCTCTGATAATGTTCCGTTTTCGTTTCAGGTCGGTGGCAATTTTTCTCAATGGCAATACTTGCACTGTGATTTCGTCATAATTACAACGTTAGGTTTAACATGTGAGTTCATATTTATTAAATTTAGTGTACTGTAGGAGTTCTTTTTCATTTTACATATCTTCTTCAAACCTTCTCAGTGGGCCTAATTATTTTTTGTCCATTATTCTGGGGTGGTAATTATGCTAAATTCTCTTTGACTCACAACTCGAATCCAAATATCAACAGTTAAAGTGTGATATCTGATTTTAAAAAGTTTCTAAAATTATTGGTGTGACTATACTCATCAATTATGTCAATTCAAAAAATTCTAGAATACAAATCATCCTTACATCTAAATTAACATAGTAAAACACTAAAACTTTCTATATTCAAAATATTCAACTTCGTATATCTTCAGAGGAAAATCAAGATATTTCTTTTTTTTCCTGGATATCGTTATTCATTTTCGTAAATTATAATGTGTGTGCTTCTAGTTAATGTTATCCTGTGAACCCATTCAATTTATTTGTTCGTGTTATGGGAGACACTCTTAGACGACGTTAAACATGCAAATAAACACTCAGCTGATGCGAAATATTAAGGCGGTATTATGAAGTGAAGTAAACATACCAATCTTATCAAAATTTCTCAGGTCGATTTAAATTCATAAGTGCATTTGATGAGTTGTTTAATCATTGTTATGGACACTCTCAGTTTAAAGGTTTGTTTTATTTCCAAATACTGGAGTTTGATTCAGCTTCGTTCAGCAAGTACATTTTGTCTTTCCAAATTAAAAGTATGTTTTCAATAATTATTCATAAAAATTAAGTGCTTCAGAATGAAATACAAAGTTTACATCAAGAATAGTTGAAAGGTATCGTCATTTTAATTTTTTTCAGTATAGCCTTATAATTTGTTGTTAGTAATATTAATAAATTCCTAACCAAACCTTTATATTCACACTGTTCTTTATTTTAGTTTGAAATCTTAGCTCCACTAACATTGGGAATGTTTGTTTGTTTGTTTGTAAATATGCGCATATACTTTATTTTGTGATATGAGGAACCTAACTTTCAAGCTGATAAAAGATGTCGTTAGCAAAACCTTTGTTGTTCCAGTATTCAATTGTGCATCATTTTGACTGAAATTACTAATTTTGAATACAAGATTTCCACTTTTACGTTCTAAGGAATTCTTACTGCACTAAATTTGGAAGGCATTCTCTCACATTCCGGCCTTGATGATATTCGTCTTCAAGTGAAAGATCCTGACAGCAAAAAGTTGGTAATATGCAACGTGTTCGCTATCAGTATAATTGTTTTTTGTATATACATATATTTTATGTATATAAAGTCAAATGACGAACATTTTGTGCTTGCCTATATAAGTGATTTAAGGTTCGCCTTGTTGTGCAACTTGATGATTTTGTAAAGTAAATCCTATCTTGTTCTGCTGTATTTTTGTGTATTTTCCATATTTCTGCATGTCATCACTACTACTGTTTTTCCCTTGTTTGTTTGCTTCTATGTATATTAAGCCTATGCCTTGGCATTCACAGCTTTCGTTATGCTGATACTGACCAAAGTTTCCTTGTTTTTCTTTTTTCAATCTTTCCTGGGCTGCCAGCATAGAAGTGTTTATTATTTCAATTTTCGTTAGGGCTCGGCAATAGTTGGCATGTTGAAGTTACTGCCTTTTTAATCTCTTTCCATTTCCTCTGCACAGTGGTTTCCTCATCATCTTGTAAGTCATGTAAAATTTGAAACTTGTTACTAAGATTCATCTAGGGTTGATTCAGCTCGCTATCATTTTAAAAAAAAGATTGCACTGAACCTTTGTTGTTCTCCTTGTTCAACTATCCAACGCTTCTTAGCATCAGTTTTTGCCCGACTACCAACAGGTTCTGTCTGAAACTATATCAGATCCCGTCTTTTTTCGTATGTCTTCCATGGGTCTTTTTACTGTTTTACTGATACAGGTATGATCTGGTTAGTTTACCGTAGTGTAGTCTGGTAAAACCTATGTACCTTTTTCTATAAGTTTCTGGGAAAAAATCATGCGGTATTATTGAAATTACATAGATGTACTAGTATGTCACCATTCTCGATCCTTTCTCCGTATACATTTCGCCTAATTATGCGTTCGCACTCGGTGTTTTCTATCCTGACTTTGAGGTTTAGGTCCCTCGCGAGGATGGATGGATGTAAGAAAAGGCATTGTCCTCTCCGCTTTTAAAAAATCTCGGCCTCCCTAATGAGCTGTTTTAACTCTTCTGCATGAAGGTCGCTCAACTCTCAGGGCAAAACTAAAATGGCTTAAACGAATTTTTGTGTTGAGAGTTTCTTTAGGAGCTAAGATTGACGGTTGTGTCCCCAACCTTCCTGCTTTAACTGGGGTTGGAAGGGCAGTAACCCTAGACAGGCTCCAGGCAGAGTTTGACTGATCTAATGTGGTTTGATATTACTAGTAGTGATGAGCCGTTATATATGAAAGGAGCACACCTGCTTCAAGACGCATTTGTTTGATACATGTTTATTTATTTATTTTATTTAAACACAAATATTGGTACAAGGAAGCACCAGATACATATGCGCCACACAAATCTCATGTGATTTGTGTGAGGGCTGAGATACTGCCCAAGTGCTAAAACTGAAGCAGGTGGTTTTCTTCGGGGACCACACCCTGAGCCTTTGACCTAAGGGTCTGTGCATATGTATCCGGTGCCCTTTGTACCAATATATATGTGATTAAATAAAAAAGGGTCTGATCCACAAGGTAGTGGAGCATCGTAAGGAGATGCAGTCCCATGCTAGCCGGTGACCAACGATTGATTCATACGCCATTTGTTCCCCGAGGATACTGGAGCCCATGTGCACCATTGGTTTGGAATCAGGGTTTTCCAACTCCCCTAGGTGGACTTTCCGTGTCCACCAACCCGGGTAAAGCGCCGGACATTCTCTTTTTGTCATCTCAATTTCGTGAACAACACGCCTGCCACTAGAAGGCAGTGAGTAGGACTTCCCTGACAGAGGCTATATATTCGCGTGGCCATGTGAGAGCATTTCAAAAGGGAGAGCGGACTCTCCCCACTCTCGGCCGTACCAGGGCATTTGGGCATTTGATAAGTGTGAACAGAATATTTTTTAAAAGAGCTATTCAAATTTGCTTACTGACATTTCATCATTTTTTAAAAACTAAATAAATTATCTCTAACTCACAGCTGCATATGGGCTTCCATATTTGAGTAGTTCTAACTGCGTTCAGAAGTTTTAGATATGAAGCTTAGGTTTTCTAAATCATTCTTTTTCCACCCTGAGTGAATTGTTTAATTCCCTGATATTCTTCATACTTTAAAAAAATGTCACTATTCATTTTAAGTGCGTTCTTAAATTCTCGTCATAGTTTTGTATTTTCACAACATGTAGTGTTTTAGTATTATAGGATTTTGTTAAATCTTTGAAATGAACCGTTCAGCAGACAAATGAATTCTCGGAGACTTTTTGAAATAACAAGGGTGAGATCAGTTACCTGAACTGTTTAAAAAAATATTTCGGCTTCCAAAACTCGTCATGAGAACAAGGCAACAGATGTGCAGTTTGGGAAAAAATTCATTTGAACAAAAGGTATTATTTAATACATGACTGACATCTGTGCAGAAACGAATTGTGTGTTCTATCATTCTTAGCTTGATTTATATTTTGGGATTAGAACACTGATATGTATCAAAAGCGAAAATACACTTTCGAATAAATTGTGGATTTGTGTTGACTAAATCACATGAATATTTCATATTATACGATACTAATTGTCGAATCCTTCTTGTGTTGGCTCAAAAAATGATCTCTAGACAAAGCATTTTATCCAATTGGCTTAAAATGAATCTTTATTTAATCCAATATTGAATTAATTTCGCAAGTTGCAAGTGGCTAAACAGAAGAAATAAATTCGCATTAAATATACTTTCAGACTTCACTCTAAACTTGAATTTATTATCAGCCTTAAGGTTGATTCATTGATTAAAAAGAACATCAATTATGTAGTTAGCATCATAAAATCTTAATTGAAAATAGAAAGTATGTTTATACTTTAAAGGAAAACCTACTTTTATTCTTTCATTATAAAATATTCTACACATTGACTGTTTTAATTTTTTTCCATTTTCCATTATTGATCTTCACTAGTTGGATATACACATGCTTATCCACATCTTTCTGCTGAACCACCTACAATGAGACTTTTGAGCATGATAACAATGTCTTCATTATTTGGTCAGGTGATTATTGGTTTTATTATCCAAACAACTGCATTCATATTGATTCGCTTTCAATCTTGGTATGCAATTTCGTTGAATTTTCTTTCTAACTGCGTGTTGTTAGCGAATTTCATTCATCACTGTTGTTTCGTTAGTTGCTTGCATTTTCATATTTTACATAAGTTGTACCGCTAGAGGAAGAGAATGTAAAAGCGAGCTAATTGTTAATGTTGTAATACAAGTTCAATACCTTGCTTATTAATATTCATATTATGAGAAACATTTTGTACCTTTTTATCCCAGCTATATTGAAGAACTAAATAAAAATTCAAGTTGACTTTTACACATTTTGATGTATTTGTAAACAAATATTGAATCAATTCAGTAGACAAGATACTTCAGATATAGGTTTGGTTACGCTTAGCGCTTGTTAGTGAAATTCATAAACCATAAAAAGCACTCTTTTGTGAACATGACTGTATGACTAGGCAACAAAACTTCGATCATTCACTCTAAAATTTTTGTTTGATGTGCTTATAACATTAAAGAAATTTATCATTCTTTGATCATACTATTAATAGGTATATGCCGTTATATTCGTACTCTAATATATCCGAATTTCGAAACTATGAAAGTACATCTTTATTTATAGTCTCCGCTTATCAATATATAATTTTGGCCATTGCCTTTTCAGAAGGAGCACCATATCGTAAATCAATCCTAACTAATTGTAAGTCATTGTTTGTGTTTACATAAATATTTATTAATGACTGGGGAATTTACTGGGCATACCAATGTAGTAGTGAGATTTTAACCTATAATTTAACATATAATCATCCTTTTGTGATGATAATGTTAAAACTTGTTTGATGTTCTCTACTTAGTGGATCTAATTAGCATATAATTTTTTGGTTTTATCTTCGATTCGGCGATTTTTATCTCTAGGTTATTATGCAGAGATGTTGTTACATTGATTGGTTCAGGTAGAAATTATTCATCAAATGAATTTGGAAAACTCATATTATTTGAATTGATGCATTTTCAAGCTATTTCCATCCCACAACGTTTCTTAGAATTATTTTAATAGGAACTTGGTAGTTTTTTCGTTATTCTAACATTTACTAATAAAATTACATCTGTAACTCGGACTAGTGAATTGTATAAAATATTCATTTCATTACTACGTCAATAGTTTGAAAACACTTCTATAAATATAAACTGGCTGCTTCCTACTAATCGAAATGTTATTTCAACTTTGAACTATGGTTATATAATCCGTGTTTTACTATAGTATCCACTGTTGAGTGATTCCACGACTTACTTCACACATATGTTCTTCATTTGTCTCTAAACAATTATAAAGATTAGTAATACACTAATCTTTTGTTTCTCTTATGCTCTTTTTCAATAGATGCATTTGCGCTGAATATTTTGGTGTGTTTTGTATTCAGTCTTTACTTGACAACTTATCCAGCTAATTGGATAGTTGAACTTTTACAAGTAAGTTTACGGAAGACTAGCGCTTCACCCGAAGTAGTATACAAGTTTATATGATGTTACTTGGTTTCGATACAGGTCATGATTTCTTATTTGAGTCAATCATAATCAGCATAAAGCCTGGGACAATGAGACTTAACGAATACCGACACAGAATGCAGATTCTCACTCACGCTCACCTGATAGCCAGAATATAACTCAACACAGTGAACAGACAACGTTGAATCATACCATGTATAGTTGATTCTTGACCACACATCAACACAACTAAGAAATTACAATATGACCTAAGTGATTGGTATGTAATTAAGCAACGGTAATTTAACAAACGTACAACACATAACAACGGTTTAAGCATCACGCCAATGCTTGCAATTAAGCGAATACCAAAATACATTATTTTATGTATTTAAAAGTCATGTGATAAAAATATAAACAGTAACTTCAGGTAGGATTGTTCAAAAAGTTCAACTTCTCTTGATGTTTATTCCGTTACAACGATAATGTAGTATCAATGGTAATGAGTAGAACTAAGTATTGAGAATGTGGTTCTGAAAGATTGGGTGAGAATGTATATTTAAAGTAATATTGAGATTCAGAACCTAGAGATTTTGGATTGATTGGACCTATTCCAGTGTTACTGATTATGAACCATTTTATCCAACACCTATTACCATTACCGCCAAAACTGCAAACAACGCTCATTGACAGCCAATAATTTCTTTTTCTGATACCTTATCTAGGTTTGTTAGCCTGTAGCTTTCTTCCGGTTCACTCCTACTGTAGATAACATTGCACGCCGAGGTAGTTGATCGCTGTTCGTATGTAATATATGTCCCATCCACCTCAATCGATGAAGATCCACAATTTCATGGATCTATGGGTATCTTTGTCTTTTACTGTATGCCTAACGCTGTTATTGCTCACTCAATCGTCCCATTAAGACGCTTCACTTCAACGAAGGCAACTAAAATCAAAAGCCTGTAGCTTACTCATGTCTTCTACTTTTATAGGCCATGTTTCACAGTCGCGCAGTAATTCGGGAAAAACATTTTTGACGAGTTTCAGTGGAAGAGGAATGGTGAGCAACCCTAATGGATATCGCTTGAGGTTGCCAGGTCCTACTAATAGTGTTTGAGTATACAGACTTGATAAGGTTTATGTACTTTTTGGAGTGCTTTTTAATGAGAATTACTAAAATAAAACCTCTCGGTTAGTGTACTGTAATATTGCTTAATGTGAGGAAATTCAACTAAAGTAGGGCTTCATTGAATAAGTTTTATTTATTACGAGCCGGTTTAAGTTAGTAAACTACTGAAAATTAGGAAAGCCTCATATCTTGTGTATCTTTAATGTCAAAAGACGGTAGGTTGATACAGATAACCCAATAACTCACTGTTGTTTTGCTGAGAAATCATACTAATGATCTAGGGCGCTGTGGTGATATTATAACTTATTTAAAATTTTAATAGAATATGTCTGAAGTGAAGAAAATAGTGTTTTGTTGTGACAGATTCAGCGAAACAAATCGACACATCAAATAATAAATATAGATTGTGTTGAAGTTTGAATAAGATGTGATAGTCGCAACAATGTTTAGTATTCGAAATCTAAAGTCAATTTAAATAGACTGCTTAGATTTATATAGTATTCTTCTGTCTAAATGCATGTTCGTAAAGAATTTTGTAATTCATATCTGCATATAAACAAGGGAATTAAAAATAACTGTAGTCAACTGTCAGTAAATTATACATTATAAAAAGAATGTTTTTGTCATGTGATAAGTACATATTTTTTATGCTTGTAATGAAGCACCAGTCTTACTAATCCACTAATAACAAGTTAATGTGAAATTTGTGAGCGTAAAGTACATTTAACAAATTTAGACTAAACGAAAATAAATGAAATCCAGGTTTTACCACGATCCCATTTTATGACAAACTTAAGATGAAATGAACCTAGATAGGAGTTTATATACTCACCATTCATATTTGGAACTGAGATGTTTCATCTTGGTTTCTATTTTGAAACGATGATTTCTTCCATTATAGTAAGTTTTTGATACGCGTTTTTACAAATTGAGTCCACGCAATTTTTCGTATATAAGTTCGTATCAAGTAATTTGACACACTTGAATATATGTAATTATTAGAAAGCCCAGCTACCAGTTCTCCTGTTGCTTTATTGTCTATATCATTTTCTCTTCAGCTTTTATGCATTGTTTTTTAATGTCACTTTATAGTCATGCACCAGTTATCAAAGAAGGCATACGGGTTACATATGCAGTGAATTCAGAAATTGTTACTTTTTTTAATAAAATGTTCTTTTGTTATTTTAAGAAAAACCCCTCTGATAGATATACTGGGTGAATGTTCAAAATATTAATTAATTAAAAAGGAGAAGCCGAGATTTTGAGAAACTTAAAACGAGTTAAGAAATAAGTGGTCACAATTCTACACCATGATTTTTCTTGAAATCTTAAGTACTGTATGAAAAGGGTCTACTTCTGGTCCGAAATTTTACTTAGGTTAAACTATCATTGGGTATTTAAAAATTACGGGAATTGGAACTCATAAATTCTTGTAATACTTATTTGTTATCACCACACAGCATAACTGTCATTATGGTGTATGGTGTTCATGAGAATTGTATGTCTTCTAAATTAAAAACGTTTAATATACAGTTATTTTATAAAACAGTCCCTTGATTCTACCCCTTTTTGAATCATCAACATACCGTGAAATATTTCAAGGTAAACCACATTTAGGTACGTGAATAGGCCTGTTATTAATCATTTGCGCAACACTATCTGCTTTGAATTTCAATACGATTTCTTAATCAGTGACAAGCACCGTTTTTAAATAAGGTTTTGTTTTTCATAGGTGAATTTCATATTGTTGTAATTTATTAGTAAATGATTATTCTCCCTTATGAATTTTGATATTTATTTACTCACCAATAAAATTCATCTTTTATTGTAAATGAAAGAATACTTTATGCGTAAAATATGTTAAGTTTTACTGTTCGTATTTATTTCACTAAAGAATATCACTCTGAAATCTTAAACGTTGTTTGAGTGAGCTTTGCCTTTAAGTCACTACTAAATTCTATTTAACAGTAAAAAATGAAACACTATTCTCATCTTGCTGAACTGTTGTGTTTTCAGTGTTCGTATATTTTATTGATAGCCGTTGTTCCCACTAGTATTCGTACTCAGCAACCATATCTCTGAGCACTCAATCATTAATCTCTAAGATAATGAGTTACAATAAGTACATTATGTTCAGTATACATCATTAGTCATTCTATTTCGTAAAACCATGCTGTTCAGCATATGTAAGCACATACGTCATATGACTAAGATTTCCCATGACAATAAGATTTCATCATTAATACGTCGTTTTTTATTCAATTTTCGACCGAACAGGCTTTTTCCAAAACATGTGCAATAAACAGTTTTGATCCGCTAGTGTGTTTCTGATATAATCGAATGCTGTTCAAATGTTATCATGGTTGTATAACCTTTTTTATTTAAATCAATGTTCATGAAATATGTTTTGTAATGAGTTTTGTTAAGATATTGGTTTTGAAGAGTTTAGTTTCTCGTCTTTTTATTCAATTCAGATTTTGTTGTGGAGCGATTGATATTATGCCGATGGCCACATAGTCAATGGTACTTCTGTAATTATCCTATTCTCTAAAATGATTTATTCTTTGTAAAATTTGATGAGAACCTATTAAACAACAAGATTAAGATAGTCAGTCACCATATTTTCAGCTAAAATGAAAATAGTTTATAAAATATGAGGATATTTTCAGAGTTGCATATAATGAAATTGTTTTTATCGATTATAGTTAGTTCGGATTCCTTCTGTTTGGTTCATACTCATTTTACACTCTATGGTTTTGGCGAATTTTATGGCTAGTTATATTGTCGAATCAATTGTTGATGGAGTCTCTTTTCGACGTCGTATACGTCGTATTCGTCAAGCACTATTTCCAAGGTTAGTCACACCATCCATTTTTTGAAATAATAGTGATAAATGCGTTAACAAGAAGTAAGGGTATTTCATACTTGTTAATTAATTTTTCTTTTAAAAAGTATGAACAGACTCCTCATGATGTACATGAGTTATCGTTTCGGGATTTATAGCTGTCTTCTATGAAACGTGTTATTTTTTCTGAAAAACCAATAAATAGCGATATGAGATATTTTTGATTTCACTTATCGGAGAATCTTCTCATAGTTCCTGATGTTTCTATTGTTGCCCAGTGGTTGCTGTGGCGGAACACTTTTGTTCGAATGGAAAATGCTACAAAGTAACTTAACTTATATTATACAGGTTTATGGCTCATACGATCAACACTACAAAAGCTGACTGATAGATCAGAATCTAGTTTATAAATTCAGCATTTTTGCGAAAACATTTATGTACTGCAAAAAGGCGTAGATGACTTATTTTAATAGTCAAATGGAACGAATTAAATCAAGAAACGCTCAAACTACTAAGGTCAAATTAAATAAAATCCTACTATAAATGCTAATTTCTCAGCCTCAAATGAATGTAAAACGTTTTCAATCTTTGAATCAGTTGTCATTTTGTCGATAAAACTTCAATTCGATTTCTGTTAAGAAGTTGCTTAGATGTATTAAAATACTCTCCTTTAAAGTGTTATATATATATATATATATATATATCAAAATGTCTAATTAATTAACTCGGTATTACTTTTGTGGTCCAATCAAGACGTGTGGAACGTAAAGCTTATGAGCGAATTCGAGAAGAAATTGACAGGTCAGCTGGCGTTTGGCCTCCCTTATTAAGATATGACAGTCTACAAGCATTACCACGGGATTTGTTTGAAGATGGAGATGTAGATTTGCCTGATCGTCCTGGAAGTAGACAGTTGTCTTCTGAAGTATTCAGCGACACAGATATAGGGGTTGATTCTGGTCAAAGCGAAGTAACTGACAGACGACAGCTTCCCCACAGCAGTACAGACGGTGATATCTATCCGCATAAAGTTGTCGATAAATCATCTTCTAATCAAATGAGTGTAAATGAAAATCAATATTCAACTCCTACTCTTGATGGCTCTTTAAAGAAGCACGATCTTTCAGTAGTAAGGAATTTCTTTGGTTATTACTTCATGTTTATTGTGATACTTACTATACATGGTATGCAACATGATATAGATATTATTATCTGATAGATGAATTCATGAGTCAATTAATTCTAGACAACCATGGAAAACCTGGAATTACTGGACAACCGTTTCGTCCTAGTATGCAACTCCTCAGCAGTGCGCATCCACGATCCTCAAAAACCCTTTCTGATAATAATAATCATGTGCTCACTAGTGCCTAGCTTCAAGAGGTACTTCCTGGAGTTCTAGTGAGATGTAGTGACTAGTGGAGTTCAACCACATCTATTATGAGATAGTAACTCACTGAAGATAATGGTGGAGAGTAGTGTAGTTTTGTGGTTGAATTTAGACACAACACCGTTGGCTGCTGGCTCAGTGGTCTAGAGGTTAAACGTTTGCACACGAAACCGATAGGTCCGGGTTCGAATCTCGCACGCGGGATCTTGGACGCACACTGCTGAAGAGTAACATACTAAGACGAAACTGTCATTCAGCGCTTCCAGGTTTTCCATGGTGTTTCAACTATAATCGACTCATGAATTCAACTAATAAATTATTATAATATCCACAAAAGCATCACTGTCTGATACGAATATTTGAGTAGGTTATCTGCCATATTGACAAAATAATTAACTTATCAAAAGAGGTTAACTAGATTTTCCAAAAAAACCGCGTAGTTTAACTACTGGACTTATTTCCTACTCAATTTTTTCAGAACGATTAATCAATTCTGATCGGTAGGACAGTCAACTGCCTTGATAAATTGAGTTAAGACTGTATTGATCATTTCCCAAAAACGAAAATGTATTTGTTGAAGAAAGTTGTATTGATTAGGTTAAAGGATATTTTGCTTTTACCTAATAACGAACATTTTTTATATATGAATATGAATTTTTGAAAATAAAGTGAACAAGTATTTTACTACTTATTGCTTTGCCTTCATCAAAGCATTTGTTCAGAATGTAGTGGGGTGTAGGTTACTTATATCCACATACGTAGTATATGGTGATGGTTAGGTATAGAATGTGTTCCAATAGAATATTGATAAGGCAAAAACCGAAACGAAACGCAATTGGTATGAAAATGCATGAACCATGAAATCAGAGAAGATGGACTGATATTTGCAGAAGGAACAGTCAAGATTAAGACAATTGAAAGTCATTTTTCAAATTAGCTGTTTAATCTATGGTTGTCAGATTTTAGTGAGATTGTCCCCACTCGTCTTCTTGTTCACTACAGTTTGAGATACAAAATGTCTTGAAAGTGTTAAATCATATTTGGGTTTCTGTTCGTTCGTTTCACAAATCACTTCCGCTGTTTCTTCCGTTATCTGGTTTATACCAAAAACTCTGAATAAATTGAACCTTTTGTGTTGCGACTGAATTTCTGTTTGTTATTGAATATATTTTACCAAATTTTAGATTATTTAATCCGTACTTTGGGAGCTCCAAATTTGCTAACAGCATTATAAGCATCTTCAACTCTAAATGATAATGTTGACAAACTTTCTTTTTGAGATCTGTCAATATCTTATCGCCCTTATTTTACATACTTCTTACATGAATACTGTTCTCATTGTGCGAAGTTATTACACATCAAAGAGTTTCTTGCCAACTACTTACAACTAATTAACATCAAAACAGTGCAACTGATTTCAACTCATTTAGACGATCTCTACGTTTCTTATTGATAAATAGAACTCCATCAGTACTAAGGACTCGATAAACATGAATTGGTTACTACTGATTGGTCAATCCGTGTAAATGTAGTCGTTTTTATCAAAAATCTACCTGAAAGCAGTTAAGGTTAATTACACATTAGATTAGGTAAACAACCACGTTTTTATGTGAGCTGATAACAACTCTAAAACCAAGTTGTTTGTTTGTGACTAAGTTGTTTATTTAACAGAATGACAGGTTCATTTATTACTCTTTTGAAGTTATTGAAATTATAGTTTATAACCAAAAGCAGTTGGTGGTTATTGGTACCAGTTATTGTAAGCAAGAGTGTAGTTCGAGTCATAAGATCATATGGAATATATTAGTAAGCATATGTATGAACTTGTTGAGCTGTGGTTGTTATTTTACTCTTAGTTGTTTCACCCATTATATTAGATTTTGCCTCACATTTAAGTTTTTGTTCCAATTGTTATCTTCGTTTCTATCGTTTGTTTTCCTTTTCTATAATGTTGTTCAATCGGAAAACAAAAAGTAATATCTTACTTTTGCAATTTTTATATCATTAGCTGTTCAAAGATCATGATTTTGACTTTTTAGTTAGTTTACTATCAAAATTAAAATCCTGATTCATCTACTTTCGACTTATATTAGGACACATTACAGAATCACACTGTTTATGATCCAGATGTATTTGATCATTCCCCAGTGTCTTGTACACCTTCAGCTTTAGAGTTTCCTGTTATCGAAAGCGTGAATTCACATTTGAGACATGGAGGTGGAGAAAATCGTGAATAAGAAAACTGTCGGTGGATTATATATTTCTTTAATCTTTAAATTGAAGTGCTTTCCAGCAACAATTCGCTTTACTTTTTTCAAAGTCAAGTTATATTTGCACTGCTCATAACCTTTTATTTTTCTACAAGGTTAGCATAATTGCTTATGATATATTTAAATGCCAAGATTGTGTACTTTTTATACAATGTCCGGTGTAATATTGGATTTTTAATATACTGAATAACGTAACCTCCGATCACCAGCACATATTTTGATTTATTTGCTCTCTTTAAATGCCAAAATGTATGCTTCGATGCTATTTTTGGAGAATCCTAGATAGTGTTGGCAAATGATATTTGTTATGAATTTTACATGATATTCGGTAATTTAACAACGATATTTACTATTTCCAAAATCAATTTATTACCTTGCTATCTAAAAATGCTAGCTTAACCTAACTTGCTATTTGTATTACGACGAATATTTTGTAGAATTTCTTAACAAAGATTCTTTAAAGGTGAACAGTTTATTTGTGTTTTTATGACAACTTGTTCCAATACACTATTCACTTATTGATAATATTTTGGCACAATAGAGTTACAACTTGCTGGTCTGCCAGCCTATCAGAGGTGTAGCACATTTTCGCTTCTTTTAACTCGTTTAAAGTGCAGTAATTAGCTTTCATTGTCAAATATTCAATGCAACATAGAAGCTTATTTCTTTGTTGTGAAGTAATGCAATGGTAGGTGTATACTGAAATAATATATACATGTAAACATTTATATCTATTTTAAGTTAGTCAGAAATGCTTATTTTCGGTTTGTTAAGGTTCTATGTCATGGATGATCAACTGGAAATAATCTGCAAAGAGTTTATGGATTTGTTAAGTCTCGTGTATTTCATACACAAATTTTCATTTAATAAATCTAAAAAATCACCTTTTTCAAAGGAAAGTGTATGCACCTGGGGTTAGATTTGGCTTACTTATGTGCTCATAGAAGAGACATTGCATTGATGACTTCTTCACAATGTGATAGAGATTAGGAAGGCCTATAACTGAGCACACGACAGGTAATCTGAAATAAGTCTGTTTGTTAACAGTTCCCATCGTTGTTTAGATTAATCAAACTGACATTTTGACGTTCTATAATCCACTGAAAACTTTTATAATACAGCATGTATGATCTGAATTTCAAGTCACTAGTTGATTGCGAGTGAATGATAATGATGTTTTAAGATTATACTGAGCTATAAAACCTAACTGAAAACCTTCGACGCTGACCTAACTCTATCAGAGAAAGTCGGTTATTTTTTCGAATTGCCTCTTTTGCTCTTCTAACAACTGAAATTGTTTCAAATGGGAATGCATGACTTGACTTTTAATCAATATTGATTCAAAAATCATCTGGCCATCAAGATATGGATAAACGAAAGGCGAAAACAGATTTATTTGATGAAGTGTAATAAGTACAACAAATGTTGATTTATTTATATTTCAATCGCTGAGACTATTTCAAATATAATTTTTTCACATATATTGAAATGTTGATTTGAATTACTTCATTAATCCTACTCAGAGTGTCTATTTGACTTTAATGGGAAATTGAACTTGTGAAGAATTTGTCTATGGGAAAAAAAACATTCTAAGTTAGTGTTCAGTCTCACGTGGAGATTTTCTTTAATACCAAGGACGTTCTCATAAGTCGAAGTCACTTGACTTATTATACATTTTACTGACAATAAAAACAGTTCACAGCATGAAATTAACTTTATATGCAAACAACACTTTCATGAGAAGTAATCTAATCCGGTATAGCAAGTTTTTCTCTTATATCTAATGAATTCCGGAAGTAATTCATCCACTGAACTGCTTGGATCCTTTCTATCATCTTCTCTAAATTTAACATTATCTGTGATAAGTTTATCCAACATTTCATGATCATTACACACATGTTCATAACGTCGTACACTTGATATTTACTACTCGGTTTTCAAATGAATATCTTAGTCATTATGATAAATAGCAAAGATTTGAAAATCTGATTTTAAATAAAGAGAATACTTACATCATATGCATTTACTTTCTCAAAATTATATCAAAAAAGTGGGGGGTAGCTGTCTATCGTTCACCCTGGATTGCGTGGTTGGAGGTTTTATTTAGTAAGGTTCTTTTTTGAGGAATGAAGTTGGTAAACTCTTGCCAAATCCACAGGGGTGAGGACAATTAATAGCCTTATAGGGGCTCTAGGAGAAGTTTGAAATTTCTAGAAACCAACGTATTCTAAGTCAGTATCCTCATCAGTTTATCAAGATTGGTTTGGATCTCAGTCCATACATCGATCCATAGTCTACCTATGAGTTGTGTATACAGAGCTCCAGAAACTTTAGCTTTTGTGGATGATCTTAGTATTGATGCACTTTTACATCATTGTATTTGAAATTTTGATATGGAAGCCATGAAGGAGCCTTCAACTTCCCTAGTATAAACTGGTCTACCGTTATAAGTCCGTCGATTAATGAGGAATTCCCAACAATACTAGATATCCACTGTTTGTCCTAATGGGTATTCTTCCCGTTAGTATCAACCTCACTGATAACCTTCCCTTAAAAAGAAGACTTCAATATCAGGATTATAAAGTGCACAATGGGACTTACAGCAAACCGTGTTAAGGTGTTCATTTCTGAACAACTTTTCAAGAAACAGTCTCGTACATGTACGAGACATATTTTATGAAATCGATAGCTCATGTCTAGATTCCATTACACCAGTGAAAACTTAATGCTTTATTCATAACAGTTAAGTGTCACAACGAATTAGGGTTTTTTTCAGAAAGTTACTTTAAGTCGGATTGTTTTTCATCCGCACAACTAGCTGTTAACCAATTCTTAAAAATCCATATGTCAAAGGCCTTTGTTGAAGAGTAATTAACACTTAACGGTGGTTCAAAGGAAAAAAAACCTAAGTTATTCTACTCAATAAACGTGTAGGATTATCGCAAACTTCAGCTTTCCTTTGAATCTTCTACAGTGGTTCTTTTATAAATGTTCGAATACCGACACAAACATTTTCAGTGATATTATTGCAATCAATAATAAACCTCTAGAAAACTTTGGACAAAGAATCGCATACCCTTATTAGTAAAGACACAGCATCCCCTAAGGTTTCGTGGAATCATCGAACTGACGGAATTGTGTCCGTTTACTTCTACTGCTCCTTCTAAAACTGTTTACAGTTCCTCTGGACACGTGCACTAGTCCTAACTATTGAAAAACCATACAAACAATACTTTCTTACAAATCTATAAACAAGACTGACTAAGATGGTTATCGGCCTGTGAATATTACCCCGGTTATGCCAAGAACAATACAAAATATTGTATGTTGCGAAATTTCTGACCACTAATTCACTGGAAAACACAACACTCATTCATAACACGGCTTCCCTGGAACTAGATCTCGCATCTTAATTTGTTTAGCTTAGTCTCCACTGAATGTTGCATTAGGCAACTAGTTTTATTACTATGTATTGACATTTCTAAAGCCTACGGCATAATTTACCACCAACTCCTTAAAAACAAACTCACATCTCATAGGGTTAGCGATATCTTACTTCTGTGGCTCAATGATTTCCTCAGTCACAGACACTGTATAGTTAAGTGAACTCCTTATAAGACTCTCACACCTTCAAAAGTGGTACAACACGAGGTAGTGTCTCAGGTCTTCTTCTCTTACAAGATTTAAATAAACGATATGTAAGAATACATGTGGTGTTTATATGAACCAATGATTCTTTTGTACTTGATGACTGCTTGATTTTGAATTCCAAATACAATACATTCGTTCGTGTTCATCTAATACTCCTTGATTAAATTGCGTTATTTGTGGAACTCCTGATTTATACTATGATTCGAATACTCCTAATTATCACAATACTTCACTATGGATAAACGATTTCTGTATGCAGACGATTTAAAGGTAATGTATTCATGTTTTTTCATGAGCTTAACCATACGCCAAACTATCTGTATGAATCTCAAAGAAGTTGCTCTGTGATCCTCAAAATGAAACCTAGAACTGTTAAATGTAGGTGCTTTTGTTGTCGTGATTCATTTCTCAATTTCGACTTTACCGTAAACAAAAAGATCGTATCTAGGTAGAATCAGGATGTATTGGTCATATCTTCAACCTCCGCCAAATGTTGGAACACCGTCATACTTATCACAGGCCAACAATCGTAATGTTTTATGATATCAGGGCCGCCTTCGATCCGTTGGACAGAACTGTTCTCTGGGATTGTCTATTGAAGAAGAGTGCGCCTGAGAAGTTCATTAACATCTTAAAGGCCCTGTATACGAACACCTCAGGCAGAGTGAGGGCATACAACCACCTTTCTCCCTTGTTCCATTCAAGCAGTGGGGTTAGGCAGGGTTGCCCAATCTCACCATTCCTCTTCAACTTTGCCATCGATGACATTCTGGAAACAGCTCTGATGGATGTAAGTAATGGCGGTGTGGACCTGTTGCCTGGAGAAAGACTTCCCGACCGTGAGTATGCAGATGATATTGTCTTACTGCGTAATAATGCCCAAACCATGCGATCCGCACCTAATCAGTTGGCAATTAGTGTCCATAGGCACGGTATGTGCTTTGTACTTTCAATTGCAAAGTATTTCCACAAGACTGGCAGGATTCTAATCCTGTACTCACCCTGAGTGGTGAGCAGATTGAAGTAGTTGAGAAGTTCATGTATCTAGGTAGCTGCATAAGTGCTGGCTGTGGCATGAGTGATGAGATCGATTCACGTATAGTTGAAACCAGAGCGGCTTATGCCAATGTGGGCCATCTTTGGCGCCTTCGTGATGCTAGTTTGACTGTAAAAGCTCGGGTCTGCAACGCATCGGTGAGAGCAGTTTTCCTCTATGCTTGTGAAATCTGGCCTCTCCGAATTGAGGATGTAAGACGATTCTCTGTGTTTGATCATCGTTTTCTCCGAAGAATTGCTGATATCCAGTGGCAACATGT